CGTCGCGTCGCGGCCTGTTTTTAAACCACAACCCTTGGCGCCCGGATCACAGTGTGGTCGGCGTCTGACTCCTCACTGCGCTCAAGTGGTGCACGCGCGTCGACGCGCGTCGATGCCCGTTTCCATATTTGCATAACACAAATTTGTACCTTAACAATGGGAAAATAAAGATGAATATTCAATGTCTTCCTTCCTTCATATGGCATACGACGAGCCACAGCAAAATCATGCATCTTTTAACTTGGTCAAGTATTAATTATTTGTTTACAGTAATTGCTTCGGACGGATGTCGTACGAAGAACGAAAGTACAGGACCACTGCATCATACATGCACTGTCATGTTTAAGGCTGAATAGGGTTAAGTATTTCAATTTAATATTTCCACAAACATTTTTAATATAGCCACCGTTCAAATATGAAATTTTAATTTTTTGAGTTACCAAGAGCGAGCGACTTTGGAGCTTTATAAGCTATTTGATTAACCTTGCATAATTCATATAGAACACCAAATGTTCCTTTCGTGAATTTGTTATCATGCATGCAATTACCAACTGAAGTATAAGTAATCAAACCTTTCACCCTATATAGCCTGTTCCATAGCTAAAAATCATTTATCTGAACCGTGTGCAGCAAATGCAGTATTGTCTTATTGAATAAGACAAACGGCTGGATTGAAAAAGCAATGTTTTGGTCAGGTGCATCTAACTTAGCACAATTGAATTCGTTATTCCGCTGGCGTATTGCTCGAGCCATCGAGACTTAAGGCTTGTTTACACCACAATTTTACAAGTAATGACTCTACTTATCAAGTTATCAATCAACACTTTGATCACATCAACATTGTCCGCATCTGAAAATATTGAGTGCAATTTCAATAAACAGATTTTTTAATATAGATAGACAAGCGTTTGATTACAATCTCGTCAGGTGCTTCACTTTGGTCTTGAAGATATCCAGTTTGTATTGCAAACTATCGCCTCGACGGTGAAGATGCATGAAACGCTGGCGCACGACGCCGGCCTGCCGCGCCGGAACGCTTTGTGCAATTTAATATAGAACATATTATTTCCCGAATAAAGAATACATTTCTTCTAACAAAAGAGTAAAGCCGCGCCGTGACGTGCCACACCCAGCGGCGCAAATTGTCGTCTGCAGCTCGTGCCATCACGGGGAACACAAAGTGTAGCTTAGATTTTCAACAATAAGGTGTATTTCTTTGAAAGTCAGACAGCTGAGTGACGTCGGAATGTGTAGCGTGAACTTTGAAAATTGCAATGCAATGTATAACTTCATATCTACTTAGTAAGATAAACATGTGTCAGTGGAATCTGGTTCACGAATGAATGGTCGATTTTAAGCAATTTGTAGATTTCACATGCAAATACTATATATGTTCTTATATTCTAGATTCTTTTTCATTCTTTGGTAAATATATAGCCTTTTCTTGTAGACAATAAGGTTTATGTTGTGTATAATTTGAATGCATCGTATCACGTCTGCGACAATGTGAGGCGACCTTTACGACGCAATTCGCAATCAACTTGCCTCGCGCCTCGCCGCTATCGGTGGATTTCATTTGTTACTTAAACTCGGCCTGGGGAAATATACTTGCTACACAAAGATTATTATGACGTGAACAGGTTTATAGGTAGGTATACATATAAACATGTAACTTTTGGGATTACTCGTAGCGCGTGACCGAAAAACGCCATGACGGCCGTGAAGACGCTGGATATAATAATTTTATTCGTAATTTTATAGAGCAAGTACTTAATGTAATTGAGATCGCGCGTGCGTTACAGGCTTGCTATGTGGTGAGTTAGATTATTACTCACTTCACTCACAAACGTATTGTGACATACATGTGACAAAGAAAACATAACAATATGCTAAGGAGAGTCACCGGAGATTAAGCGGGAAAAACTATTTTTCTAGATGAAATGGTTTAGATATGTACTATTAAATAACGCTCTTACAAAAACATATGGTACACCTAAGGATATTTCCTGAAGAGTGTGAGTTTTTTTTTATAATATCAAGTGACGGGACGAACAAGTCGTGCGTCAGATAGTAAGCTGCACGCCTGTCTCCCTGAGACGTATGTTGACAAGTCTCATGTGCCTGTAATTTCACCAGCACCACTACCGTTCGAAACCGGAACACAGGACATTACTGTTTGGCAGTAGAAATAGGTAAGGATTTAGTTTGTACGTTACACAATTGACCATAAAGTTCATTATGCTATGTATACAATACCGTTACAAAAATTCGCTTTCATTCCATTCCACCGCAATGCAAATTGGTTTATTATGGTCAAATGTGATCAAACGTCACAAGTGTTTTTATCACATGAAAGTAATAAAAATAAATTAATAAAAAGTGCATATTTTATTGATATAATTTTTTTGTTAGACGCCTTACAACATGTCATGACAGCGATACATAAATCTTTTGTGGATTTCATTCGCTGTGTTTTGTATTTTTTTGTAAACTATTTTACTTTTGAATAAACAATAAGTAAACGAAAATAAATGATTCTCCACTAATTCATTTAATTACTACATTAAATTTATTGTACTGATTGTTATCAAATTGACTACATTAAAAAAGTGGTAGATTATCGTGCGTGCGTGCGTGCGTGCGTGCGTGCGTGCGTGCGTGCGTGCGTGCGTGCGTGCGTGCGTGCGTGCGTGCGTGCGTGCCTGTGTGCGTGCGTGCCTGCGTGCGTGCGTGCGTGCGTGCGTGCGTGTGTGTGTGTGCGCGCGTGTGTGTGTAAGTGCGCGCACGTGTCTGTTATATTAATCAACAAACATTTAAAATAATTTTAGGATTATTTAGAAACCTGGCATAAAAAAGCACCGATTTTCTTTGTCAACTCTTGTGACCTGCTTTATCAGCATCCTTGTTCTTATTTTCAATTTCATGTAAACTGATCCTATAAATTTTAAAATCGCTGCCCAGACGGGAAGTCGGATCGAAATCGCGGCGGTGGGCAGGAAATTGCTCATTCTCACGCGACCGACCGCCGCCTCACTCTGGAGAATCCGCTCTAATGGAAAAAGTTAAAAAAATATACAAAACTTTTTTTATTACTACGCCCGCGCTCCTCCAACTTAATACTGCAGTAGTAGTTATAACCAGTATTCTTCGTGAGACACAATTGTTAAACTTTAACTCGAACACACTTTTACAATCATAGTTTTCTGCCATTTTAGCCAACTTTATTGGTTTAAAAGTAGAAAAATAACACATATATTTTACGTTACATAATGTATCACGTATAACGTAAAACAAAAAACTCAATTTTATAAGGGCAGTTGAGCTCCATCCATCTTACCATTTTTGCCGCTAAGCAGTAATGCGAGCATCACTGTATTTCGGTTTTCAAGGGAAAAGGTGCAGGTGAAATTACAGGCACGTGAGACTTGTCAACTTATGTCTCAGAGTGACGGGCGCAGAGGCAGTGCCGCTGAACTCTTTGTGATTTAAAGCTCTGAGTGGCACTGCAACAGGTCTGGCCACATGGTATTGCCTATTAGGTACACGACTTGTTCGTCTCGGCACTTCATATTATAAAAAAAATTAAATGAACACTGGTTTCGAGGTATTAGGTTTTCGCAATTGGAAATGAAACTATTTTTTCGGATCTAAGTCGCTTGTACAATCAATGCCCTAAGATAACTGATCTGGTTCATGGGAATCTACTCTCATATGATTTCAAGCATCGAGTTATGTCAAGTATGAAGCTTCATTCACATCATGCATCTTTTAATTTGGTCGAGTATTACTTCTTGACAGTAATTGTTTCGGACGGATGTCGGACGAAGTATGGGAGGTAGACCCCCTGAGCAGATCTGTGTGAAGAAAGACAACTGTACTTGTTTTTGCAGACAAACCAATGTTTCTAACACAGTCATTCAGCTATGGTAGACCTGTAAGGATCTCGGAACATTGGTTTGTTTGAAAAAAGAGCCGAAAGTATAGTTTCATTACCAAGAATAGGTCTGCTTCTCCTTCTTATTGTATTAATAGCATACAGGTACCTTTCATACACCCTTATAAGTATACTGAATTGATCAGTGATGAAGTCATAAAATAATAATATGTAAACAAATTACTCTTAAAACAAATAAATTTCTAAAAAAATTCATCAGCCCTCTAAAGAAAATGATAAGTAGGAAACTCTGGGGGTTCTAATTTGTAATGAAATATTTGTCAATGTTATTTTTGTTATTCAATGTCATGTCATTTATCATTAACAATATATTTATTAAAAAATGTAGCAACAATCTGGAAGACCGAAACAGATCACACTCACGGGTTTTGGTCATCCAAGTGCACAGAAGTAGTATAATAGTCGCTGTAATTTCAAGTAGCAAGAGAGCTCTACTATATCCTGTGAAAAAATTCGTCCAAGGATACTACCCTAATATCTATTTCTGCCGCCAAGAAGAAATGAGAGTATTACTACGTTCCGGTTTTGAAAATGAAACTATTTCTCTGGATTTAAATCGTGTGTACTTGATTTTTCAAACAAAGCAACATTTCGGGCTTTTTCCAGGTTGATGGTCACGGCTGACTGGCACCATGGGACCTGTAAGAGGCACGAACTTATTGTTTGAAGACACTCCGGAGCCCACTTTGCAAATGGGCCTAACAATAGGCGTTGATTCTTTTGATTTCGTCACGTATCGAATTAGTATTATCAAACAATAGACAGTCTCATTTTAGTTGATAACATAGCGAATGTTGCTTAAGCAAAACCTTTAAGCGACATAAAAAACAGCACTGAGACTGCTAGCCTTTTAACAGGCTTCAATATCTACTAATTAGGCATGACTCACACTCACGTTACAACAGGACACAGTCGCAATCTAACCTTAATAATGATACAACACGCGATAACACACCTTATGTGCGAAAATCGATAGTATCTAACATTTTACCATAGATAAAAAGATAATTTGGTATATTTAGTTTCCAATTCGTACTGATTTTTCGTCGACAGTCGTGATCGAAGTGTCGGTGTGTATCATATTTTGTTATCACACGTCATAATTCAAGTTTTGTGTTTCAAAGGATAATAAGAAATATTTAAAATGTGGTAAGTCGAAATTTCAACTACCTATTGTTTACTTTAGTAGAAAATTTACAAAATGTTCCAAAGCAGCGTATTGCAATTATACCTCTCAAATATTTAAATTAAATATTATACAACATCACTTACGTTGCTCTGATCTAAAGTAAGTAACCAAAGCACTTGTGTTATGGACCTCTGAACCAATGACGACGGTACCACAAACACCCACACCCGAAACAATATAGAAAAAAATTTTTACATTGACTCGGGCGGGAATCGAACCCGGGACCTCAGAGATGGCGAAACCATGAAAAGCGGTGTACAAGTCACTCGCCACGGAGGTCTTCATTACTCTCACCTCTTACAAAGATTTCTTATTTAAATTTTAATTACGGATAATATGAACTGTCCGCTAAGGGTGTAGCAACAATGGCGCTTAGGTTTTTTTTATAGTGGCCATCCATGTTAAAAACATTAAGCCTATTCTTAGTTACTGAAAGTTGCAGTAACAATGTAATTTCGATTCTATTATTGTATCATATTGTCCCACAATGGACCTACCGACCCGAGAGATAGGGAGTTCCGGGGAGACCATGGGTTCGCCGGTAAGACCAGGGTACGGCAGGCGTTCGGGCCAAGCCATTCGCCAGTGATACGCCTTCACGGACGTCTCTGGTGAACACCGACTTGGGTATGGACTCGCCGGGGTTTGTGGTGAGTGGCAGAGATGGACATGTTCGCCCACTCCGGTGGTGTGTGACCGGGGCGTCTGCCTCATGCACGGCTAGCTCGTCTTAGTAGCGGTCTAAACGAAGGCCTAAGGCGAGGAGAGGCGCGGGACACGTAAGTTGTCCTTTAAGTTGGAACCGCACATTGTCGCAGGTCGCTATCTTCGTCGTATTAGCCCGGAGAGCTAATAGAGGAAGAGCTAGACATTCTCCAGTCCCTCCAGCTGCGTAAGTTTCTGGGAACTAGAGAGACGCTTCGGTGTGGGAAAGTGAACATGCTTACAACTCCGCCACCAAAGAGGAGATTTGGTCGTGGACTTTAGAGCCAACGGCTTAGCGGTGGCAACCATTAGTTATGCAATGCGTAACGGGAAGTGAACGTGCCTACAGCTCCGGTACCTATCTGAAAAATAAGGAGCGTACTGCACATACAGTGTACTGCACATACCCGGGGTGTGTGCACACCCATTACTGTGTTCTGGTTTTGAAGGGTAAAGGTGCTGGTGAAATTACAGGCACGTGGGACTTGTCAACTTATGTCTCAGGGTGACTGACGGGCGCAGTGGTAGTGCAACTTAGATCTTTGCAATTTAAGGCTCTGAGTGGTACTGTAACTGTTATGGACAAGCATGTAGCTTACCATCAGGCGCACGACTTGTTCGTCCCATCACTTGACGGTGTAAAAAAAAAATAGTTTGTCAAAAAAAAAAGAAAAAAGACTATCCTGAAGTGTACTGAGTAATTCTCTTCGAAGATTACGATACAGCTATAGCGATGTAGCAAGTAAGCAATAAGCTATTCGAAGGTGACGAACATGTTCTTTGTGACTGCGACCAATATACAGGCATACGTACAAACTAAGTTACGTGACCGCAATATATTGAGATGTGACAATGTCACCACTATTAATGCCTTTAATCTAGAATTTTTGTTCATTGTAATCTTATCAAATTGTTTATATCAATGATATTGATATTAACAATGTTTCGTAGTCATACAGAAAACTCATGTAATAATTTTGTAAACATATGTACCATTTATTGTTATAAGTATCAGAGGTCTAATTGTACTATTTTTTTTAAACCACTGGTCATTGTAATTCCTTTAAGATTATATTGCAATTTTGATAATATTTATTTACTATTCTGCTAAAAATCTAAATGCAATGGTAGTTAAATCTCAATGGAGTGTCAGTGGAATGGCAGGGTTGATGATGATAATGATGATGATGATGAATGATGTTGATCAATGACCGATTGCCTTACTAAAACTACCATGGAAATTACTATGCTTATCTAAATTTTATAACGTTTAATCAGCAATTTAGTCTACAAATTAAATATACATATAATATTAACACCCTGCGCTATCGACGTGCCATCGACTCGCTTGAAGAGTAAAATACCAAAAAATTGCAATGGCAGTTGAATAGACTTGATGACTAGCTACTGACAAGCCGCTACTCTTTTTAGCAGAATACCACAAACTCCACTCTATCTACACAGAACTGAGATGATTTCAAATTAGCAGACTTGGACCCCAGTCGTTTATACACTGTTTCAATTTAAAATCGTTCTTACTTCTATACATATATTGCTATCACGTTTACTTAGGCTTTGTTTCTGATGATTACCTATCAGTAGTCCGAAATGACATTTTCCAGAAATAGCGTTTGGTCGAAATTTTATAACCTCGAAAGTAATTTTGATAAGAAAATGATTTTTTCTTATAAACCTTTTCTTTATTATTATCATGAGGAAAATGCGTTACGCATTCCCCACCGCCGGGAGACGGCGGGGATATGTGGGACTCTCTCCTGGGGACTATGTCGGTCCCCAAGAGCATACCCACTAATAACCTCACGATGCTCCTCCTCGATCCCCCCTCGGCGGGGAATGTCCACGGCGATGCCCTGGAGGATTAGGGGCATCTGCCGTCTTCGGTGGCCTGTGCAATGCAGGGGCAGGGCCTCCCAACCTAACTCCCTGCTGGCCTCCACGGATGGAAAGGAGGCTATCGGCGTAAGATCTCCTCGTCCGCCCTGGTCGCCGACGCCGAATCTGGTTCGCAAGAGAGTCATCCTGGCGGGCCCGTTCGGCGGTCTCCTTTTGCGACATGACATCTTCGCAAAAGGTGACCATTGCTTGCCACGACCTCTCGCTTGTCAGCATGACTTTAACCACACTAGGCAGCGAGAGGTCACTTCCCATCTCCGCCACGAGAGTGGTCCGCCGTCCGGGCGGAGACTAGAGTGTCATCTGCGTAGCAGATGACATCCATTCCAACGGGGAGAGATCCTCGGAGCACGTAGTCGAATTAATTAATTATTATATTTATTTTAAACTAATTAATTATTTACTTTATATATATATTTTTTTAAATTATTATTATTATTATTATCAATTTAGTTAAGATATATATGCCGCAGTTAACGTATATAATGCACATAACCTCAACAATTACACAACCTGCATATAATAAACCAACGTTCACATACTAAATCCTGGATAAACAAAGTTTCATGTTATACGGTTAAAACTAGGACGGAATTAGACAATTCGAATTTTCCATCGCATTCAGTCTAATGAAGTTATAGTAACCAGTGCTTATATAGATCAACGCTCACATACTCACTAAGCATCGGTTCAAATGAACTTGAAATGTTTTTCCCTGTTTACAAGTACACTGCGCAGCGACTGAGCGCCCTGTTTTCATTTTAATTGTACTATTGTGTCTTCTAAAGTGTTTATAGTTAGAAGTTGCACTTAAGCCCAATTTTAAATAGGTCGTTTATCTACAAGGCGTTATGATATATGTATCATAATGCATCGTATCGATCGTAGCGCTGCAAGTGAGCGACTACGTTTGATATATTTTAATATATATCGACACTGGAGAGGCAAAATGTCTAACGTGCATTTGGAAAATATTACAGGAGAGCGATTTAAAGTATTTATTTAAGATAAAAAATATACATAACTAACTCTAATTTTATTTGTTTGTTATATGGAAAACTGAAACTTTCTAATTTTTAATTTAAAAAAAAGGAAATATTTGCTCGCATGTTATGCTAATTCAAAGAATTAATAGACTGTCTGGAAACCCAAGGGCTGGCAGTTACCTTGACGCGGGGACCCAATTTTATTCATATAATTTAATCCTAGTTTTTAGTTTCTAGTATTTAAGCTTTTATTGTACCTTACCTGTACACTTATGAAAATCAATATATTGAATTTTAACGATGTATAGGTAATATAGGTATTTATCCGATAAGCACCTCAGTGAAAGCTGATTATATTTAGCTTGATTCATTGTTGAATATCATGATTAGCTTTCTTAGAACAACGCCAACGCATCAAAAACTGTATTTCAAGCCTTTATAGCACAATCTGTGTGAAGTAAATGACAAAATAAATAATCGACATGACGTGATAGCCAAGTGTGAAAATAGAGTTAAAATTCGTTACAAAATTAAATGGTTATTATGGGCATTCAGAAATGGGGTGTACTGTCGGACTGCCGTTTCTTCTCAAGTATTAATACATAGTAATCGCCCCATCAACCCTCTACCCCTCTGCCATTTACTGCCTTTAATAATTTAATATCTCTGGCGTTAGATGAGAGATTCAAATTCATTTTTAGCATATTCATGTGAGTTGAAGCAATGTTAAATATTTTAATGGTATATATTTGCGACACACAACAGCAACTACATAATAAAATATTACAGAAGTTTGCAGAAGAGATTCTTTGGCGTTCGACATCATCATTCTGCAGTAATAACGCCAAGTTTTATTTAAAAGAATTTACAAAGTACCGGGTTTACTGTAACCGACGGTATTAATGGTCAGGGTACGAAGGGTAGTTATCATAAAAATTATCACGACTATTATCTTAAGAAATATACCTAATATATTATTATTAGGTATATTTATAGAGGACGGTTTTTGTGAAGTTCGTGGCTTTTCTACGTAATCTCTATACACCTTAACCAGCGACATTCCAACTTCTTCAACCCATCAAAAAAAATCCTTTGTCAAACTCAGAGATTAATGGTAAAAATGTCAAATGGGGCCAAATCTGGGAGTACGGAGGTGCGGCAATAGTTCATACCATAATTCTATAACTAAAACTAAAAATAAATTTTGAAAAAAGTTTTTCTTTAACCTCAAAGTCACGTATTTTTCAAACCGCCCTCGTAATGTACACAGGTAAGAATTTGTGTATGTTCGTGACAACACATGTACCAAGCATCTCAAGAACCTTGAAGCTCCGAGTTTTTCTATTTTGCTTTTTTTTATGAAATGTAAGTGCGCATTTGACCTCCATCTCACCTGACGGATAGTGACGTTGAGGTCGACGATCGAGCGTGCACATCTAAATAATGCTTATTCACTCTCGCCGTGAAAAGGTCCAAGTTATAACGTTCAGGGAACAAGTCTGCAGGCAGGGAATTCCACTCCATAGCCGTTCGCCATATAAATGTGGAAGCGTAACGCTTAGTGCGAATTTTTGGAATATCCTCCACTAATACCGAGTCACCTATAAGCCTCTTGACACACATGGGTGTTGATTGAATCCAAGGTGGCCAGTTGGTATGTAGCAGAGCCATCCCAAAAGTGGCAGCAGTACTCCATGCACGTCCAGACTTGTGCTTGGTACAGCTGGAGCAACTGTCCCGGTGTAAAGTAACGCCTCACCCTGGAAAGGATGCCAAGCTTCCTTGCTGCATTTTTGGCCTTGAATTCAATGTGTATGTACCGAAGTTCAAATTGGACGACTAGCTAGAGATGGTTGGCTGTCGGTATGGATCATCACGAAGTCGGAGTCAGCTCAAAGGGCCTCCGTTTTGTGGAGAATAGACGCGTCTGCGTTTTGGTAGCGTTAAATTTGACAAGATTCGCATCGCCTCAATCGGAGACCGCCTTGAGTGTCAAATCCATACTGCTAATCATAGACGCTCGACAAGACTGGATTTCCTCTCCACTGACCCTTGCATTGGTGAACAGATGGCATGCTCAACTGTGATGTAAACTGTGATGTGTAACATGGGAATCCAGTGCATGATCTACGAACTAGACAAATCAGATGAGTTTATTGCTTATCTATATCCAAAATAAAATATAGAATTCTTTATTTTTCCATGGTTAAAATAAGTGCGCATTTGACCTCCAACTCACGTGATGGAAAGTGACGATGAGGTCGACGATGAAGCATGCACTCTTAAATAATGCTTATTCAACCACGCCTTGAAAAGGCCCCAATTATACCGTGTAGGGTACAAGTCTGCTGGCAGAATATTCCACTAATAACCAAAGTCAAATAGTCAAAACAAAGTGAAATAATCATTTATTCCATAGGTAAAATTTTTACACTTGAAAACATTGACTTACAATTATATGGACGTCGGGTCCGCGCTAAAAAGTGTCCGAACTTATAGGGCGTTAAAATCGTATACAGAGCGTCATTCACGCTTTAGTCTTCGTTTGTTCGACTGACAGCGAAGCAAGCAAAATTAGACAGTACTGCGATGACATTACAATTTAAATTCAACGTTTTAACTTTTTCATATTCCTTTACATGTCACTACGTTTAAATAGGTTGACTTGGGACATTTTTTTCGTGGTTTTTGTATTAGACCCGTCGTCCATTTATTTGTAAGTCAATGCTTGAAAACGTCATTTTTTAAGCTACTGCTCGTTCACTATGTTGACCTTCCTGAGAAGAACGAGCAAGAAAGGGATTACTCTTTTCAACTCGAGATATGTGTGTATTCAATAGCATTTAAGTTTATTTGAAAAGAGTTTCAAATAAACTTAAATGCTATGAAATACACTTTGAATCATAATTGTGTGGAATCTAGACTCTTGTTATCTTTCCATACTTCTTTATTTAAAACAAACTCTTCAATATTGTAATATGATTTTCCAATTAAAATACTTTTAATGTAAGTTTTAAAGTTAGGAAATGATAATGTTAATATTCCAATTTTAATAACCATTCGTCATATAAATGTGGAAGCGATACGCTGCGTGCGAATCCTTGGAATATCCACAGCATAATAATAAATAGCATACTTCCTTATACTAAATAAGTACCTATATTCTGGGATATGCTCCGTTAAGGCTCAATTTATATTAGCGAATTTTAGTAAGATCTTCCACGGAATGAGCGAGCATGCGCGAGAATTCCGCGGAAGATTTTGACTCGTATCTAGTTTGTACGTTACACAATTGACCATAAAGTTCATTATGCTATGTTACAAAAATTCGCTTCCTCTCCTTTCCGCCGCAATATAAATTGAGCCTAAATGTAAGGTTATAAGTATAAATAATAATAAACGTAAAGTGACATTGTGTTTTTCTATTTCAGCTGCGTGTGTAATTTGCTGTGCAAGATCATCAGTTTCATCATCTCATTGCTGGTCATCATAGCAATAATATTAATTGTTTTATGGGTCACTAAGGTCTTTTAGTAACCTTGTAAGTATTAAAACAAATCGTTACAGTTTATCTGCAATATTGGGATTTTGCAACCAGAATTAATTAATTATTCTTGTATACTTGAAGTATCCATACCTATTTCAGGACCCTACCACATTATTGATACAGTAACAATTGCCTTGTGCCTAAGGGAGTCACCATACTTATCAACACGAAATCGCATTAAGCCAAAAAAACTTTATGTCTATGAAATAAGAGCAAAAAAGCTGTGCGCTTGGCATCAGTTTGTAAGACGCGGCTCGACGCAGGTCGGCAACAAATCTGCTTCTTGCGAATTTTCGTTCCGTACACAACTGATAACGGCTGATCGGCCGCATCTACGCCCGAACGACTTAGACGACGCGACGCCGCCCGAACCACCGTGTCAACGCCTGAACGACCGCGTCGACGGTGAATCGGCTTAATGCGACAAGCGTGGTAAAACATGATCGCCTAAGCCAATTTTGTGTTGATAAGTGCGGTGACTTCTTAAGGGTGCTGTACAATTTGCCATTTAAAATTGTGCGGTATACGTTCGCTAGTGATGACTATCACTGTAAACTCATGGTAGAAGCATTAGTTACATTGACTTGAAAAAAGAATGTAGTACACTAACATTCTTATTAAATAAAACATATATTCGAACCCCTGGTATAAGGGAATCACCGCACTTTTTAACGCGGAATCGTATCAAGCTGGTCAAAAAAATCGTAAGAGCGAAAAAGACGTTTTGCGTTTCGCATCGGCTTGTACGACCGCGGCTCGACACAGGTCGGCAACAAATCTGCTTCCTGCTAATATCCGAACGCGTCCATATGCTTACCGACGACAGCGGATCCTGGTTTAGAAGAAGCTGGCGCGACGGCGCACGAACGGCCGCGTCAACTACGAATCAGTTTAATGCGACAAGTGTGGAAACACGATTGCATCTAGACGATTCCGCGTTAATATGTTTGGTGACTCCCTAATAAAGCTACTTACATGTCAAATGTGCTTTTATCATGTGAAAATAATATAATTAATACAAACTACATGAAACAAATTATGAATACGTGAAATTTTATAGCTCTCCTATTGAAGCATAAAAAATCGACTAATGTCGTCCTTAAAATGTTCAAACCTCACTCATGAAAAGTTGTCACTTTGCACAAGTGGCCATATTACGTTAGTGTGAGATTGCGTATTTGTTTACAAATCAAGAGAGACCAATTTTCTTTTTAGCCATTGTGGTTATGCTTTCCAGTCACGTGACGTATTATGTAAGTAACAATTAATGATTTGAAATATTTTGATTTTGTTTCAGGTAATTGTTAAGAAAAAGATGACAGCTTTAAGACAAATGTGTCAGTACGCGAGTAAACTTACCATAAGGTAAGTTACCCGCGTATTTACCTTAATCTTACGTTGTAGTAGGTTTACCCGCGTACTGACACATTGATCACAAGTTCGCTCTTGTATTTATATTTTTGTGTATATAATTTTTCTTAAAATAAGGTAATTAGTCAACTTCACCCATGGCTCAACAAAAATAAATAATAGGACAATTGCTAAAGGCCAACAAGTTACTTTTGAACTAGGTCATGGAAAAGCTAGTGATGATTTCCTTGTGTAGAAGAAATTATTTCATAGCGATTTTCGTGACAGAGAATCCACAACTAACATGTTTGTCTTTACTAAAGATTTAAATCATGTATCTATGCCAAATACAATCCTTTGAGACCCATTTGTATCAATTTAAGGAATTAAATACAATATTTTTATATTACTTTTCTTTTTGTTTTTTTCTACGGGTATAATTAACACTAAGCATATAATACGTCGAGTTTTTGGACCTTCACGATTGTTATACATTTTTTCAAACAAATCAATGTTTCAGGCTCTTTGCTCCCATAGTCACGGCTGAGTGAAATGCTAAAGTTATTAATCAGTTGTTTAAATGTAAACCACCCTATTCTGAATTACAGTTATAAAACTTATTCATTTAAATACCTTATTATTAATTTAACAAAAATTATTACAGTTAAGTATTAATACAAAGATCGAACACAGAGAAGAATTCCTAAGATCTTACAGGACTCAACTTGCGTCTTTTGCCAAACCTGGACATACCAACTTAGCTATAGATCGAGTCAGCAGACCTTACATATTTCTCTGTTTGTTACAGTCTTTTGTATTGGGTTTTTTCAGCTTTTGCCACCGTAAGCGACACCTATGAGAGATCTATGAAGCTTTTCACTCAAACGGTACCTATGCAACTACCAGAAATCGACATGAGATGTCGCTGTTTGAAGTTTAATATTGATATTGCGCTACATGCAGTGTGCAGAATAATATATTTTATTTTAACAATAGCAATTAATAAAATTAATTATTATCTGCGTATATTCGTAACCTTTGTTAGTAGAATACGGAAAATTACTATATAAATCATCTGTTTTATTGTGAAATAAGTGTCTATCACGATCTTTCCGCGATACGTGAGTATGATGTACGAATGTATGTGAGAGTTACCGGTACGAAAGATAACTAAAATACATATTGTTTATGATTAATTCAGTCTGCTCATATCGTGACTCATAATTGGCGCGCCAAATAGGCTACAGTTACAGGATTTGTCTAAGTATATTATGGTTTGTACAGAGCATAGCGTGCAAATTTGTATTTACATATACAAATGTAAAGTACGTTCCACCACGGCCTTTTTTAAAGAACAGACTTCCTTCTTATTGGCACTGGCACAGGAAACTATCTCTCAGTAATTTTTATACAAAAATACCCTATCAAAATAGTAATTATGTGCAGCGCGAAAAAGGCTACGAAGAACCTTTGAGTGTGATATACGTACGTTTTAATTTTAACTGCCTATGTGGCCAAACGGTTACTAAGATGGTCTGCCACGCAGAGGTCCCGGGTTCGATTGCCGGGTCGGGAAAACTGTTTGTATGGCCTATATTTCTTTCTCTCTAGAATGGTTGTAACTTGTGGTTGTCTGTGTATGTGTGTGTCCATGGCACCCGCGATAGATTTCCATAGTGCGGGGTCATGAGTGTGTACGTTATGAATAAATATACTCAATATACGTGTATAATATTATTCACATACATTATATTACATATTATAAGATCCACTGCAACATTATGCAGATCCTTGACGCAACATGCATATAGTAGCAATATAGTACTGCCACCTTTCGTATTTCTACCGCCAAGCAGCAATGTCAACATTAATGTGTTCCGTTCTTGAAGGGTAAGGGTGCTGGTGAAATTACAGGCACATGGGACTTGTCAACTTATGTCTCAGGGTGACGGGCGCAGTGGCAGTGCCCCTTAGATCTTTGTGATTTAAAGCTTTGAGTAGCACAGCAACCGTTATGGACAGGCATGTAGCTTATAATCAGGCGCATGACTTATTCGCCCCGTCACTTGATATTATAAAAAAGTAACGATAATTTGGTCTTAGCTTGTCTTCCATGGAGCAGCCCTATATTTTTCTATTTTAGTTTTGATTATAGTGATCTCCTACTGATCTTCAGGGTATACGAGAAGGGCACTATAGCATGTAAGGAATCTTATCCATTCAAGTTCTGACCCCTGATCAGCCAGTGTACAGGATTGTCACAGACCTCTTCCATGGAGCAGTAGGACTAGCAAGGCAGGGCGCGACTAACGCGAGAGCGACATAAAGCGCGAGATACTATTATACTCGCGTAGAGCTATGTCGCGCCTTGTCGTGTTAGCCCTATAGGAACGCGTTTCAAAGACGGATTGCGGAAAGAGCCTAAGAATTAGACAATTGATTGAAGACATTAAAACCAATAAACTGAGTGATAGAGAACTTAAGGCTCAATTTACAATGTCACGGAACGGAATGGAAGCTAATTTTTGCAACCACAGCATAATGAACTTCACGTTGATTGTGTAACGTACACATTAAACAGGAGCTATGAAATATGCACGCGTCTTCCGGACAATTCTCACACGGTCTCGAAAATTCTCGCAGCTACCAGTTACGCATCGTATCCAGTTTGAACGTTAAAATATTGCTATAAATTCAAAATTCATAACGCTATGTACAATTTCGTCGATCATTCCGTTCCGCAGTTTTTTTAAAGTAATTGAACTTGCTTTCATACGATTGAACGAGCTCGCCCAGAAGAATGGTCGCCCAATGGTTTTTCTGGTCAACTAAATAATTTAAAAAATAAACTAAATAAATTATTTCACTACAATAGGTCACTGAAATATAAAAAAAAATACATCCCTGTTTAGAGCTTAGGTATTTTTTACAATAAGTTATTTTTCATTGACTTTTTGTAAAATAACTCCACTAGTTTTTTTATGATTATTAGTACAAAGATCGAACACATGCAAAAATTTCTTCGACCCGACGGGACTTGAATCCATGACCACGCTGTACGGTAACGTTGCTCTATAGCAACTGAGTTACAAGTCAAGTTATCGAGCTGACGAAATTCTCTTATGTGTTTTTGTTACAGATCTTTGTATTGGTTTTCTGCATTCGGCACCGCTAGTGACATCTAGTGAGAGATTTTAGAACCTTCAAACAAACTTCCAGGCTAGTGGAGTATAGTATAGTATAATATGTATGGTAACCCCGTACAGACGTAGCAGCGCGGTTTGTACAGTGTACCTAGTTATATATAAATGTGGATCGAAAAGCGACATCTGCGTCAGCTGTGACACCTGTAAAGATATCAGCTGCGGTGAGAGTTTTCAAATAAAATAATTTTAGTAAAATAGTTTTAGTAATTTATAGTATAGTTTATATCTCACTAGATGTCACTAGCGGCGACGAATGCCGAAAGTCAGTACAAAGATCTAAAACAAAAACACATTTAATATAACTGTTGATAAAGTACCAAAAAAAGATATCACCTGTTCCGATAAATAATGGTCGACTTAAAGCTTATAGAAATAACGTAATGCTTAAACTAACTAACATTCCGTACGTTAACGATCCCAATAAATTGTATAATTCAATTTTCAACACAGTGAAAACTGAAAGTGATAATGTTTTTGAGTTCAAATTCATAACCAAGTATAATTCATTGAAATTTAGTGATTGGCTGACAGTGGGAATCAATAAAAGTTGGCAAAGGCTATATGATCTTTACGATGAAAGGACCTATAACACTAGTAACAGTTTTAATGATTTTATTAGGAAGTATTCTAAAATGTTTAAACGTGTTTGTGTTGCAGCTAAAGCATTGTTTATAAATTAAAAAATTAAAAGCTGCGTATGCGAATGTAGTAAAAACGACTTCTAATATTATAAACAGCGAAACTGGAAGGGTCAAACCTCGTAACTTAGATTTTAAACTAAGATTTAATGACAAAATTGTAAAAACTGACGCAGAAGTTGCTAAAATATTTGAAATTTTTTTACTGACATTCTCAACCGCCGCTGAAAACTTACTAAAAGAAAATGATGCAGTTAGTATTAGTAATTTAAGGTTTCGTCATGTATTTTCAAAATCGTTAAAGCCTTTAAGTCTATAGACATAAAAAATACTGCTGACCTTGATGGTCTTTCAGGCAGAGTAATTAGTGCTATAGTTGATTGTATTGCGCCTTCTTAGCCTTTGTCTGTCCCACTGGGTCAAACGGAAGTTATTTTTTGTTCCAGGTTTTCATTCGTCTTATTTCGTTAGATTGCCTAAATGTAAGTGAAATAAGTGTATTGATGACGATTATTACTTTATCGTTAAAAATACAGAATGTTATCTGATTGTGGACGGCATATTGCTATTTTGTCATCTAATGGTAATAATCTTTCGCTTCAGAATCGACAAATGAGTCATAGTACCTACTGTTGTTGATAATTATAATTAATAATGCACTTTCCAAGTGTCATGATTTTAATCGTGTTATTATTATTTATTGGACAAAGCCAAATAAAGTACGTTTACGTAATGATTAGATGCAATAAATTCTCGCATTATGAATAATAAATTTATCAAAACAATGGAAATCCGGACTATCTGTTTGGGTCTTTTCAAATCATTAAATGAAATAATATACTCAGATCTACGTAAGAGGTATTTCTGTAGCTTTATATGCTTACACCTACCATAAAGATACATAAATACCTACCGGATATGTATGTTTCTCCCAAAAAAATCTCACTGCCCTTATTTAACTTCCATTGAGCAAAATAAATACTTTTCTCACGGAGAGCGACTCCGTCGCCGCCGGTGACAACGTCGATGCTTGGATATGCCTTTTGGGTAAGTGACCTCCTGGAACCCACCGAATTCACCGAATGTACTCCTTCAGTCCGCATCGTGGTTGCAACCCATGGTTGTGACGCTCCCCGCTACTTCCAGCAACACCGGCCCTTCAACTGCTCCTGCCGAACTACAAACCTCTGCTGCAGCCCTCGCTCCTCCACTGCCTGCGTGTGCCGTAGAACTCTCCGTTACACCCCAACCATCTACTTTACAGTTATGTAAACCGGGCCTTTCAATCATTCACCTTAGCAAACAGTACTGAGTACGACACTGAGTTTGCCCCAGAATCAGAGAATAAAAAAGTAACGAGAATTGACACTCTCCGCCCCTCCCTAGATTTAGATACCGCATTAACGCCTCGCACATTGTCGGTCATATTAACTGAACGACAACAAGGCTGTCGGCGAGCCGTTTTCGCGCTAAGACGGCTTTGATATTTAAATATTTTTCATTTATTCATTGCGAAACTTGTACGTTAATA